TGGATGTAATAGTAACTTCCATAAATAGAGTTCGAAAATCTAAGGTAGAACTAGTGCTACAATTGTGGTGTCATTTATTTTTCTTCAAAAGGTTAATTAGAATCGATATCTAACGTATCCTTTTAACTTTCATACATGTTTATATTGTACTACAAGCTGCTATTTATCAGTTTATTTATCAATATTCATGTATGTGATATATAGATATCACATATTTTGCATTGCATTAATTAATCAATAAATTATTTTAATTTTAATTAGCAATTTTTCCGTGTGTTCAAAATATAAAATATTTTTTGAATTCGAATGATTTTTTCTTCTTTTCTTCATTTCCGTTATCTTAACTTATTTATTGCGAAAAGGTAATATCAATGGTGCAATGCATCTTTGCGATCTGTTGTATCATGAGTATCAACAATAAGTAGTCACATTTTTAATATAAAGATTTTAATTGATATGTCTGTATGAATCTCTAGTAAATGTCTTTAACCTAAATCTAGTCGATACATCCTGGAAATGTAAAATGGAGGTAGCAGCTTAGTATACCAGGATGAGTTTCGTTTACGTCCTTGTCGGTAAACACCAGGAAATAATTACAGATATCATGGCAGGTAAGCTTAAACTGAGATATAAAATAAAACTGATTTTCATTTTCAAATAAACTGTTATACAAGTAAAATTTGGATTATGATTGTTTTAACTACTGCACATGAATGATTCTCATCTCAATATCTCTTACTCTTTGTGTGTTTGTTTGCGTGTGTCTAGACCCTTTGTACAAGCATACAATCAAGATCAAAATATTAAATCTTTCATTTTTGTTTTCTAATTTGACATAAATTGTTAAAACTCATCCATAATATGACATTATGATATAAGATACAAGATCATTGATATGGATAAGGTATATAAATCTGAACAGGTTTTAGTACACATAAGTAACGTACAAGAGATGAGTCATCACACTTTTATACGAGGGGGAAATATTAGGTTTATAATTTACGTTTACGAAAAAATTCTCTATTTCAGAATATGTACAGACGTCTACTTCGATATTTTAAAGATGGATCCCATTCTCAACTTGGTAGCTATTTGGATGTATGTAATAGTAAGTAGATACTGCTCTCCGTGAATAAGAATTCACTTCTTAAAACGAAACTTTGACTTGCTTACTGTTCTTTGTGATTTCCTTAAATCATAAGTTTATTATAGTAATTCTATTGATTAATTTTTTAAAATAGAGATAGATAGATGAAAAATCTTGATACCTTACACGTATGAATTATCTCCCTTCTCTTTACAGATTTTTATAAAGAGGAGAGCTAACATATACCAGTAGTTCTCTGACACCCGCGTCAGGAAGTGGAGCTAGAATGAAATCACAATGAACCCAACATGGTTAATTTTTTCTTGGAGTATAAGTGCCATGGTCATCACGATAGCTGACACCATTGAAGATGGAAGTACCACTGTCTCCAATGTGTCTGCAGAGTACTTATTATGGATATCTAATGAAAGACAATATGAGATTAATCGCCCTTCTATGATCATCCATATAATTACAATCATTTGGGGTTTAATCGGAAATTCGCTTGTGATATATGTGTTTGGAATCAGATTTAAGAAGTCAACAGCTAACGTATTTGTAACTTGTCTGGCAGTTTTTGACACAATCATGTGTTTTCTTTTAATATTGGAAACTTTAGATTTGAGATTTCCGATGTACAGCGGCGACTATCCAGCTCTTTGCAAAATGGTTCGTTTTATAGAAGGTTTTATAAAATCGTTTTCTATCATCTTACTTATATGTGTAGCATTAAACCGTTATTACAAAATATGCAAACCTCACAAGCATATTTCAGTTGAAAAAGTAAAGAAAATTTTAATTGCAAGTTTTGTAGCTGCCATGATTTTTAGTTGGCCCGCCTTATTATTTCATGGTTCGGAAACGATGGTGACACACTATCCTAGAATAACTGGAAATGATTGTGCTGCTGATGATAAATTTAAAGGTTCGCTTTATTCTGCAATGTATTTCATTTTCATTTTAGTTATAATATCTTGTTGCATTGTTGTATTGCTAGCTTTATATTGTTTTGTTATCTGGACATTTTTGAAAAGGAAGTTCACAGCTATTGAAGAGAATCAAGATTCGGCTATATGGTATTCTAATACTTCGTATCATTTTCAAAGATCTTCAAACATAAGTTTAATTCGAAAAATACAGTCAGGAACAGATACTGAACAGAGACTACAGTCCAATTTTACGGACATGGCTGAAAATTTTGGAAAAGAAAATAATTCTAACGAACAGAAACCTGATCGTAGGACAGTCGAAAATAAACACCAGTCCAGATTCGTGGTTCTGGGGGAACAAAATAAATCTACAAATGGAAGCGAAAATGTTTTAACCCCAGAGAGTCAAAATAAGACAGAACTACAAAATACACCTATTCCATTAAGGGGTATTCTGAAAAATAAGTTAGAAGACAACAACAAAATGCTAAATAAATCTGCTATAGCGTATCTTAGTGGTCAATATGAAGCAGAGGAAGAGTTCCGGGTTAGTGATAGACCCAAGAAGACCGTGTCCTTCATGTTCTCAATTGCTGACTGTGATGAACATCCCAAAGTCACACCTTCTGAACCCGAGGATAATTCAAACGAAGTGTCCCAAAGGCATCTAGCATTAAATGTGGACGAAGAAGAAATAGTGGATACAGTTTTACTAAAAACTAAAAACATAAATACTTTGGTGAATAAACAAAATAGTGGTGCAAAGGAAAACGATGGATCTATAACTATAACGTTCTGCTTGATAACAGTAATCTATGTGTTATGTTATATTCCAACCCTAGTAGTAGAGAGTATGAATGCAGTGCAGCCATTCAACCTGAAAGAGATGTCAACCACGGCCCAGCAATTCATGGTGCTAGCCTATTCAGCCTACTTCATGAATCTTTTATTCAAACCCCTTATATACAGTGTTTTTAATAAGCAGTTTCGAGATGAGATTATCTTAATTTGGACAGACAAATTCAAATAAAACATAATTAAAAATTATTTCACTATTTGTAATCGTTTGTTGTTTATATTGATGATTTGATGGAAATCAAAAGAAATGTCGAAGTAAAATTGAAACAAATATTTTTAAGAGCTCTTATTTTAGGATAAGATTGAAATTCAATATTATCGTAAATATTAATGCTTTTTACTTTTAAGAAACAATGTCTTGAACTTGTATCACAATTTCAAACAAGCTTTAAGAAGGTTAAAAATAATGAAGGATAAATTGGGTAATCAGCTGAGTCTCGATATTGTACATCTCTCTCCAAGTTTTGGGCTTAAAGCACTATTGTTCTGTCATATATCTCTATTCTATCTATCAATTATATTAATTTTTACAACTGGGCAGAGTAAAGATGGTCCAAGATATAACAAAATCCATTTCTTGTTGATGTCACTTTTTTGTATCCCGCTTTTGCGAAAGAGAGGAGACATTGAATCTCATTTGCTTGTCAGTAAGTCTGTCACAAAAGCTTTAACCTTGGACATAACTTTTGATTGGGAAAAGATAGGTCTTTCAAATTTCACAAGTACATTACCTGTGACAAGACCTTTCAAAATATAATTTGATTTTTGCCCCCATGACATTGGAGTTTGATCAACTTTTCGAAAAATTTAACATGACTTAAAATTGGTGATAACTTTTAAAACAGAAAAGATAGGATTTTCGTATTATACAGTATGCATATTACCTGTGACATGGCCTTTTTAAATATACTATGTCTTTAACCCTGCTACATCTAACTTGAAGTTTGGCCTTCTTTTCAAAAATGATATTTTTTCCTTATTCCTTTTGATTAAGAAGAAATAGGACTTTCATTTTTGACAGACGCATTACCTGTAACAAGATGTGTCCCTGCATTCTATGATTTTTGACCCTTGATCTACATGTTAGACCCAAATTTAAAGAAAAAACGTTGCCGAATACTTTTGAATGACATATGATTGGGGTATCATATTTGACCCAATATGCCATAAACAGTTGCATTGCATCCATTAAAATACCCAAACGGGGGAAACAATTCTTTGAATTTGCTTATTTATATTTTTTATTGAATTCCTTGACTTGTTCAAAAGTTTGAATTCTGTGCCTAGATATATGAATAAAACTTCAATTCAGTACTAAGAACTTTATACCAAGTGATCATTGTGAACATGAATAAAATATTGGCACAAACTATCAAGAATTCAAAACTTAAGAGTTGATTGTTCATTAGCTTGGGTTAAAAATATCAAATAAAACGCAGAAGTGAGGTTACACACCTGTAAGATTGAAGTCGTCATCAAGAGCATGAGAAATGTTCTAGTCCATTACACCTACCCGGATATATCCACTTAAGTGAATGAAGTTGAATTTAAAGGACTCAAATGAACTTTTAACGTATCCTACTTTACCTTTCTTTTAACTATGTTTAAATTTGTCCCTCTTTATTTTCGTTGACAGTGCTATAGGGTTTGTTTTGCTACGACTTGCAAATAGGCTGTAGACTTGTGCTGATTTTTTTTTTAGTTTTTGGAATACTTATACTGTTTGTTTTTTATAATTATGAAACAAAGCATTCTAAATTTCTAAACTTATTTTCTTGGTATTATTTTCATTTTCAGTGCATGGCCAATTTTCAGCACTTGACACTTTTGACGATAAAAAAGAACACATATTACATCACTAAACAATCTTCTACTTTTAGTATTGGTAAATTGAAAGTTATGATGCATAAAATTTCCAGCATTTGAGAGCATTTCCTTCTATTGATCTGTCCAGTGATCCATGACAATAGCATAGCAATGTGTACCGGACTGTGGTTTATCATTTTTTACTTACATTCATCATACGTGATCACGGAGTAATATCGGCTTCCTTACGAAGGTAGTGCACGCTGGCGACACGCAATTGTTGTTATTCATTGCTTTAAAAGCCAGCATTTATATCCTATTCCGGATCAAATCTTTTCACTGTCAGAAATGCACATTATACTAAGCCCGTTTATTTGGATGAGCGATTTAAGTTTTTAATTTTAAAGGTAAACAAGATTTTAAAAAGTTAACTGTAACGCAAAAATTCGTTGAGAAAAACATTTTGATAATGTCAATGAAATGAAACAGACCAGGAAATGACATGATAACGCAACAAGCAGGCCGGGTGTAGAAATGTAACATGACAAAATGGTGAATATTTCATTAAACGTGGATTACTCCAGTGAAAAACAGAATGTGGAAGCAATCAAGAACACCTCTGTCTCCCAGGAGTACCTGCTGTGGATGGCGAACGAGCACCTGTACCACATAAACATACCCACTGTTGTCTTCTACGTCGTCGCCATTATTGTGGGGATTTTTGGAAATTCGCTGGTGATATACGTGTTCCGATTTCGTTTTAAGAGGACCACTGCCAATATATTTATTGTGTGTCTAGCTGCTTTTGACACAATAACTTGCTTTATGTTAATTTTTGAAGTTTTCGACAAGCGCTTACCCATGTATAGTGGCAACTACCCTGCAATTTGCAAACTAGTGCGGTGTCTAGAAGTCTTTGCCAATGGAGGTGCTAGTATCATTTTAGTGGGGATAGCGTTTGACCGTTACTATAAAATATGTAAACCATTTAAAAGACTTTCGATGAGGAGCGTGAGGAACTTAATTATAGGGACCGTGATAGTGATGGTGCTTGTCAGCTGGCCTATGGTGTTATTTCATGGATCGGAGGTTGTTACTACGAAGTATCGGGATATTACGGGACAAGACTGTGCGGATGATGACAACTTTAAAGGATCTGTGTATCCGGGAATTTATTTTATCATCCTGTTCATTTTTATCATTGCTTGTATCGGTATGATTGTTGCTTTATATGCCTTAATTTTCGTGGCAATTCTTAAATGGAAGCATAGAATTGTCGGCGAAGACATTCGAATGGGATCTTTGTCAGACAGTATTAAAACTGTATCTTCTTGCTCCCAGAAACAAAGAAGACAAACAAAGGAGCGAGTACCAAATCTAAGAGAAGAGAATCCACCATTCAGTATCACAAATACCATGTTTAGCAAAACTTGTAACCATTCATGTTCTGGTGAAATTTGTGAAGATAAAACTAGGCAAACATGCGTCACACAAAATGAGGAAAATGAAATTAAAATGAAAGAATTAGCAGTAAAAAAGTTAGGAGAAGTCGCGATAGAAAATGAATCATGTACTGCTGGAATAGTTAATGAAGGATTCACGGATTCTGATGAAAAGACTGAGGAAGAAGTGTTACCAGATTTGACAAAAACAGTGTCCAGTATAACAATCAATAGTTATACTGAGAATAATGTGTCTAAAACAACCATATCTAACGAGATAGTCATAGAAAACCCAGTAGACGAGGCTGATACAGAGCCTAAACAGGACTATGTCATTAATGGGTCTATGAGTATCGACGAAAGCAAAATTAAACTGAAATATAAAGTAAAATTTTTAAACTTTAGAAGCAAACTCCGGCGGCACGGAAGCAAATCCGACGTCCGGATAAGTGCTACAACTGTTGTGTTTAGTTTGATAGCCCTTTTGTACGTTTTGAGTTACATCCCTACTATAGTAGTGGAAAGCATTAACGCAATCGACCCTCTAATCGAAGAGAACTTGTCTGATAACACAAGAAAAGTTGTGGTCATGGCAAACTCCGCGTACTTCATGAACGGAGCCTTTAACCCACTAATCTATGGACTCTTCAACAAAGCCTTCAGGGATGAACTTCTTTTAATAGTCAAAGGAAATCCAAAATAACTTCTCATTTGCAATGTTTATTATTATACAGTTCTGTTTCACAAATGTCAAAATGTCTCACTGAAATTAAATGAAACATGCATGGGTTAACACATTCATACATCAACTATGTTTACTATTAATTTTTTTTTTAATAGTTATGTATTTTCTTTTGATAAATAAAGTTGTCTCAATTCGAATCTCACGCGACCACTAATTTATTCTTATTCTACATGATATTCATGTCTTTTTCGGCCTCAATAAATTGACTCCGTCCCGACACTTGGTGATTGACAGCTATCAATCGATTGTCCACAAAAAAATCTCGCCTCCAATAAATCACCAAAGTCCATCAATAAAGTGACAAGACGAAACCAAATTTACTGCAAGTGGCGCGGCGGATAACCTACTCAATGTCTAAACAAGTTTCCATTTTATGCGCATTCTTTTTATCGATAAGATCTATATATGGTCGTAAAGTCTTCAAATTAAAGTATAAACAGAGTATATAACGTGTGTATTTTTAATTTTCTGTGTGACCGGTCGGTAGGAGATGCTCACTCCTTCAAGCATGGCAAATTATTGCCCCCCCCCCCCCACTTTAGCGAAAGTTAGGGGACATTGAATCTAATTTGTCTGTCCGTTTGTCACAGAAACTTTAACCTTGGTCATAACTTTTGGATGAGAAGAGATGGGGCTTTCATATTTCACATGCACATTACTTATGACCAGACCTTGCCAAATATACTGAGATTTTTGACCCCGTGACCTTCACCTTGAAGTTTGGCCTACTTAGCAAAACATTTAACACTACATGTACTGTACTGTTCTGTACTTTAAATTGATCAAAAATTTTGAAAGGGAAAAGATGTTTCGTATAACACATGTACATTACCTTTGCAAATGCCTTTCTAAATATATATTTTGACTTTTTATACTCTGATCTTGAACTTGCCTTGAAGTCTGACCTACTTTTCAAAAATGTTATCTTTCCTTGTAACATTTGATTGAAAAGAGAGAAGGCTTTCATATTTGACATGTAATGCCTGTACATGTAACAAGACGAGCTTGCTATGATTTTTTTACCCTTGACCTTGACCATCAAGATTGACCTTATTTTTAATAAAATAACTTTGGTTATTTCTTTTGTATGACATATGATAGGGCATACATATTAGAAACTATGCCCTAAATAATGGCATCCAATCCACGAAGACACAGATTTTTTACTACACATTTTGCATTACAATTTAATGAAAGTAAAAGAATAATTTTGCATTCCTCACTTTAAAAAAAATTTTTTTTTACTTGCTCTAAATTACAGCAGAGATAGTTCCATTAGATTTTCTTTTTTCCCAAGTTTCAGAAAATGTCGTTAAAATTGAGATAACTTTATACTGGTAAGTCTGAATTCTGAATGTCATCTGAACATGCACATCATTCAAAGAGCTCATAAAAGCATCAGTTTCACTCAATTACATGTAGCTGTAGTTAACAATGCGGACATCAACCACTGAGCAGAAGTCATCTCCCGAGCGGGCGTCACCTCGCCAGCTTTGCACGTTTTTCGGGAGGAGGTTTGATGCTGTTTGTTTTGTCCTCGGCTTTTTCCTGCTTGATCTCCTGCTTCACGACAGATTCCTGTTTAACTGGCTCCTCTGAAAACGATCAAATTCCTCAATACAACAGCCATGTATACTCTCGGGATCTATCAGCTAAATTTTACATGTTTATATTCTCCTAAGATTATTGTAATAAAGTTCAATCAAGGAATAACTGTCTAATTTTTCGATTTCCTGATGTGATCAATCAATTGGCTTGCATGATAATTTGCATAAATGCCGAAGGTGTTTATGCATAAAATTATCACACAAACCAATCGATTGATCATCGTCATAAAATCGAAAAATCTGACAGTTATTCCTTATATTTACATGGCATTGATTCTGCCAATCCACGTGCTAGAAGCCCTGCCTCTCGTCTCTATTTGTCCCGCCTCACATGTGATTTTTTTTTTAATGGCACCTATCGATGAACCAGCACATTGATGGAGAAATAAAGTACATTAACAATTTGTAATTTTATCTCAAACAAAGACATTGCAAATTTAAATATAGTAAAATATTACTCATGTGGAAACAATAAGGAAATGATTTTCATCGAACTGTTTCCACAGGTTTTAACATGGATCCACACATGATTACATGAAAAAACTATCTTTGCAAATTAATAGTGAAAATTAAACGACTGCTCTGCATTGGGCAATATTTCATCCCATGTGGACTAACATAATCAATGTTGCCTTCAACCCCACTCAATATTTGAAAACTGATAATTACAGGAGTAGATCTGATGCATATAGCATAAAGGGGGAGGACTGCTATTGGGAATGGGGCCCATATTTGGCCCTACATGGGGCAGTGAAAAATTCCTGAGGCTGGGTGATTTTTAAAGTTTGGTCCTACCTTTTGTGTCTGGTTGAGCTGGCTGGATGATTTTGGGAGGAAATTTCTTGGCTAGTTCTCCAAGGAGATTATCCACCCTATGTCGCTGAAACAGAGAACTCGGCTCCTCTTTTTTCTTTTTGTCAGCTGATTCCTTCTTCTCTGTTAAAATGAAAAAATCTGTTTATCAATCCTCAATTCTGGCATTAAACACTTATTAACTACAAGAATCTATATTTTCATAATAATACAAAGAAAATCAAATGTTCCTAGAAGAGGAATCTGCCGATGACTGTTGATGTCAGTCTAGTGTGATGTCACAACTGAAATTGGTATTCCCCTTCGAAAAATGTGTATTTCTCTTAGACACAAGTGCCCCTTCTTTGTCTTTAAAAAGGAATACAAAAAAGAGGAAAGAGTTAGGGAACACTCCTTCAGGATTTTTAAAATAGGTCACCGGCTTGGTATTATTTTCTGGTAAATATATGCTGCAGTTTTAAAAATGTAGTATTTTTTTTATTCTTGCAAATGCAGCCAATTTGTTTAAAGGGTAATCTTTTACAGATCAAAGTCATGGCAAAGATTAAAGTAATAAAGCATACATAAATCTATTTAGGATGGTCTTATTTTTTCAAATTTACATGTATTTGACTAAAAATATTTTTTTTGTTGGGGGGTATACTAACATACAGGGAGACCAGTACAATGTATTCAGAGAAATGAACAAAACTCCGTTGACCACTTTTCAGTATAAGTGATTTAAGGAATCACTGTCTGAATCACTGATGGCCAGTGTTGGGTATGCCATAGTATCAACAATTGTTTGAAATGTGGGGTAATTTTCATAATGGGCAAAGCCCATAAGCCATAATGTAAAAATTATCCCATGCTTCCTACTGACAACCAGACAGTGATTCCTTATACATGTATTTACATTTATATGTAAATTAAATCGTAAATATAAATTTTAAAAAAGTTGTGGAACGACTTTACTTTACCGGTCCCCAGGAAAACGCGCTAAAATGTAGTGTCGCCGAAGGCGACTTCACTATATATGAGATCGCGTGAGCGATCGAAAAAAAATTTAAATACGAGGTTTTTTGGCCTTTTGACCCCAAAATCGAATTCTACGGTAAAAAGTTTAGTTTAAAACTTCGTTTTTAAACGTAGTTTTTAACCTCGTTCTCTGAAAAAATAAATAAATATTGTTTATTCATGGAAAAAATCGTCAAGGAATAATTCTGAACGAAGCGCGTGCGGCGCATGCTTAGTGTCATTTCTTTCGGACTTAGCCATTCTTCCATGTAAACAAACGAACGAAATGTCTTTAATGCTGAATTATATGATCTTGGAAAAATCCAGAAACACCTGAATTTCCTAACTTATGTAAAAGAACGAGTTACTAACCCTAATCCATCGGATAGTGTGCAGGGACTAAGACGTTTAGATGAAATATCCCGGGCAGATGCTAAACTAACCCTAATCAGTCGAATAATATGCAAGGACTAACCCTAATCTCTCGGATGGATGCAAGACTAACCCTAATCAGTCGAATACTAGTGCAAGGACTAACCCTAATCTCTCAGGTGGGTGGAAAACTAACCCTAATCAGTCGAATAGTGTGCAAATTTAACCCATTTCAGTTGAGTGACGTAAATGTTACGTCATAGTCCAATGAGCGCGAGGATCTTGCGGATTTGGGGACCGGTAAAGTAAAGTCTACCCAAAGTTGTCTAATAGATTAAAAATAAACAAAGCCTCCCATGTTAATTTTAATACTCCCCACCCACTGGCGTCAGACACAAAGACTGCCACATGAGATTGACATGCATACTTTCAGGCGGAAATTTACCTTCAGGTGTAACTATCAAGAAATCAACTCACCTAACTTTTAAAGAGTTATCACATAGAAAAGATCTGGGAAAATATCATGAAATAAAGTAAAATCATTCTTTAAAGCCCCTGAAGCAGCATACTCAAACACAAACACATACCAGTTTCATCTCTGTCTGAGAACTCCCAGGAGTAGCCTTTTGATGGATGATAACGGGAATAGGACATCGCTGAGGGAAAAAAAGAGTTAAAATATCACACTTTGTAAACTAGAATACATATATCTACTCATGCCTCAGGTAATTTCATTTTTCAAATATATAAACCTTTACGTAATTTCATTCTACACTACACTGTATATCCATCTCAATTTGGTTCGAAATTTTATACTTTTGAAAGTGAAAATAAGGACTTTTTATATTAAAAAAAGAAAGATTTGCAAATTTGTTTTTTTTTCTATATTTAATCTTTAAAGCAATATGCGCTGCATTTTTGAAAATTTTATTTTGCAGTAAAATGTGTTATTATGGTTAATCTGTATGTAATCTAAACCCTTATTGTAAAAAAGACCAAAATAAAGTTTTAAAATGTTTCAGAAGAAATACATCTTTACAACCAAATATAAAGTATTATATAAGAAATCATTATTGTACAGGACGACAATAATTCAAGTTTGCTCCAATCAAAGCTTATAAAAAATTCTTCCATAGCAATGTGAACAACAGAAGTTTATTCACGTTCTATTTTTCTGTCATTGAAATAGTTAATTACAAATTTGAAATATTTTTTTCCAAAGTCAACCATGCAGCTCATATTGCTTTAAATAAAAGTGTCTGAATTTGTGCTTAATAATATTAGAGTTTTAAAACATAAAGTCAGGATTCAGTACAAACCTGTAAGAAAACTTACCTTCATCAAATGCTGACTGTAAACTTGACACAGTGTTTAACTATATATAACAAAAAAATTAATCAGGAGAACTCTTCACAAAATGATGAATTTACATATTACTTGAGTTATGAAACCAAAGAATTAACACGCAACTGTCACTAAATAATGAAGTTTCACTGAAATTACATCGAAATTTTCATATAAGAAAAAAATTGCAATACAATTTGATCTGCACCTATCCTCAGTATTCCAATGAATTATATATTGTATTTTTTTTTATTCAAAATAAAGCACAAAATTAAATTAACAAGAATTAATAACAGACCATTTAAAAAGCATCAATACTTAGAACCATTAATGCATATTGTTACTTAATGAAACGATACCACCGAATTGGTATTTTCTGCACACTGATATCAATTAATATACAGCCCTTATTTATCATTTATTGATGTTGAGTTCCACTTGTAAACCTTGAATATATAGATTAATCAACAGATTAATCAACAATACTTACCAGTCTGGAATTGATGACTGAGTACAGATCTGGGGCTAAATGGACCACTCCATTTACAATGTAATAATCAGCTAATGGAGTTACTGTAAGCAAAATTTTGAAATCTTAATTTAAATTTTCATCCATGTTGATTTATAGTAAAAATTGGTAGCTATTGCCCAGAACACAAAATTTATTTAAACATTTTAATAATCAGGAATAAATTCTATTTTTCAAGTCTCACGCTCTTTTTTTTTTTTGGACATTTGTCTTTTTTTGAAAACAAAATTACCTTGGGTAGGAGAAAATCTGTGTTGTTTTCTTATCACATAAAGAATTGGTTCCTGTACATGCAGTAAAATGAACTCGATCCCTACCATATTACTGTAAAATGAAACATCACAGTCATTTTTTTTATTTAAAAAAAAAAAAACACAACATGGAAACAGAATGAGTTATTGAGGTGTGTATAAATACTTGAGCTGGTCCTGACTTAGGCGTTGACTCTTTATGATCTGATTATTACAGGTATGGTCATAGAAAGGATTGGTCCGTTCACAGAAATAGTCCAGCACATTGGACGGGTTCAAGAGGGGGACCCATGCACTGTCATACCATGTCATCCCCAAAAGGGGGTTTTCTGGAATGAAAACATTAACAACATGAATTAAATATTTTTTAAGAACTCAAATTCACTTTTTGAACAATGTACTATAAAATGACAGCTTATTGTATAGAGTATTGTTAATGTGTTGAAGTTCAGAAAAAAAATTATTTTCAACATGTTCAAAGAAATTTTTAAGTTTATCATATATATGTTAATATAGCAATAAAAATTTTAAAATCAGCTGTGTCAAAGTTAAAATCTAATTTAACATCATCTGTATTGATTTTATACAACATTGCCAACATTTTTTTATTTTCGCTGACCAATCCAGTATCTTTCAAATTAGCATTCCTGAGTAAGACATTGCAATCATTATTTGATTTTGCCAATTTTTCCAGTCTTGACTAATATTTAAAAACAAGTTGGTATATTTTGGCATATACAGGGAAAACACCTAATTCAATTTTTGTTGCTAAGTGTGATTCCTTTCAATGCACACCTAAGATATTTTTTAAGGTAAAAATATTGAATTTTTTCAAGAGGAGTTTTATCAAAATTATGGGGATTTGTATTAAAATCAGAGATGCTAAATTTCTGAGGAGTATTAAAATACATTTATACTGTAGTTTTTAGTTTCAAAGCTTTTTACAGTCAGACGGTAGAGTAATAAAACATCATTACACAGGTACTTGGGGTTTTAGATTAAAAATATGTACGATGATACTGTATGCATAAAAAAAGAAAATAACTGTACTTTATTTTATCACTCGGTTTATCGCATAATTCAGAGTGCACTGGTAATTCAACCGATTATGCTAAACCTGTATGAGGTATAAGACAATGCTTGGGAATAATTTATGCTTCAGCAACTACAATATAATTTACCTAGACTCATATTGGAAAAATCACTGGAAAGCTCTTTGTACACTCATTTTACGTCCGCCATTTTGAAATCACGTGACACCACGGGACATACTAAAGACCTGATATACTAAAGACCTGATATTGACCTGATGGAATTTTTTTTTTTAATAATATTAGAAAATTATGAGTTGTTTATGATTTTTCAAAACTAATTATTGATTATTAACCATAATTCAATGATAAAATATACTTTATTTAATAAAACATGCATAATTTTATGAAATATTCGCTGAAAACGTTGACCTGATAATTTTTTATTGACCTGATAATTTTTGAATGACCTGATAATTTGTATTAACTTCATAAATATGCTTGAATTTATGTTTTAATTGACCATATATATTTTAATTACATTGTTTTACTATGATATAAGTGTTTTATATCAAATCATATAAATATTTGATGCAATTTTATGAGATATTCGCTGAAAACGTTGACCTGATATATTTTGAATGACCTGATTATTTTTTATTAACCTGATAAATATGGTTAAATTTATGTTATAATTGACCAAATATAGTTCAACTGCATAGTTTTACTATAATATAAGTGTTTTATATCAAATCATATAAATATTTGATACAATTTTATGAAATATTCGCTGAAAACGTTGACCTGATAATTTTTAATTGACCTGATAATTTTTGAATGACCTGATTATTTTTATTAACCTGATAAATATGGTTAAATTTATGTTATAATTCACCATATATATTTCAACTGCATAGTTTTACTATAATATAAATATGTTATTTTAAATTATTTTAAATTATATAAATATTAGATGCAAATCAAGAAAATGACATTATTTTTTATATGACCTGATCATTATACTAAAGACCTGATAATTCCAATGCCCTTATATTATTGGATGACCTGATGATTTTAAAATTCCTGGTATATTTAATTTATTTTTTCTCCTAGAATAAAAGCATATCTAATTATTATCAATAATATGCCGATTATCACAAATTAGATTTTTTACGGCATGACCTGATAATAATATTTTAATGACCTGATATTTTTAATGAATGGCCTGATATTCGAGGATAATCTGTCGATAATTATTAAGATTTTATAAAATGTAAATTAAAACGCTTTTATATACAGACTAGCAGGAAATAAGGAAATTTCCTGATATTTAATCGACTTGATATTTTCTTATATAAACCGAAAATTTAGCGAATTACCTGATATTAGTTTTATTGGTCTTAGTTGACCTGATGGTTTTAAGTGACTTGATGGTTTTTAATGACCTGATATTTTTTAAGTTACTGTAAAATCTTGAAAGTGTTTTTCAGATAAGAACTCTTAACCATACATGTAGGGAATATATGGATTTTATTTTTTAATTAAACCATGTGAAGAATCTCCAAATAAAGTGAATAATATAGATTGGAGATCTAGATCGTTATAAACTTATCAAATTTATTTTTTTTTTACTAAAGTGAAAAGAATTTTATATAGAAAACTTCACCAATATTTTAATGATCACAAAGAATTTTTACTATCAGTGTTTATGGAATCATTTTTTTTCTTAATTAGAGAGAAACATTGTTTAATCTCTTAATAAATTTTCAATTACATGTAATTAAACATTCCGGTGCTTATCAAAACATGTGGGGGCATTGTTAATTGTCAGAACACAGGTGTGTATATCTTATCACTGTATATACAAACCCTATCGATTAGGCAGTGTGTATATACAAACAAGTTTCAAAATGAGTTTCAAAATTTTGTCAAATGACGGACTATTTTCTGTACAGCGTTTGATAAAATATAATTAAATGTACGTATTGCAGATTAATAAAACTATTGATGAATAATTTATATCCATATACACAAATATGTATCACATTCATATATTTATAGATTAGCGCACCGGGGGCCTATCAAGTTAGTAATACCTGGCTGGGAAAAATCTTTTATTTAATTAAGCAAGCCAAATTTGTCAAATATGACCCCGAACAGCAGAACTTATGCTCATTCCAGAACGATGATATTACAATGATAAATATTAAAAAATCTAGATATTTTATTGCCTTAGAGTATTTTGAGACGATAATTATATTCATTCCCACCCATGTGAATTGAAAAAACGCGAATTAATTTGTTTATTCTTAATTACTAATTATTTTTATTATCAATAATGAAGCAATATGTAATAGAGAGAGTTTAATGAGGTTAAAATTTTTGTTTGCATCTTCAATTAGCGACAGTTTTTTTGATGGTTTCTTGATTATGCTGATCACTGTATCAATCAATCGATTAACAGTTAATTTATGAGTTTGCGTGTTTTGAAAAAAAAAAGTATATAAGTAAGTAAGTAAGTAATCATTTATTATAGTGACATTGTGCATTTTAGACATTTCAATATACAGTGTAAACAAAATACGTCAAACTGAATCTGCACCCGGCCCATTGGACCTATAAGTCACTTTTTCCATTAATAACATTTATATAAATTTACACATGCAGAAGATTCTTTCTATGGTTATATGCTGAATGTACAAATTTGGCTAACTTTATTTGGTAATTTTGATTTAGAACTTTGAACAAATAATCATTATCATTACTATTTGGGTGCTCTTTGTACACGCTATCAAAATATTTTTTCCTAACATTATTATACAATTGACAGTCTAATAAGAAATGTTTTTCGTCTTCAACAACAGAACTAGAACAGAAAACACACGTTCTTTCACTTAAGGGTTCATTTTTATATCGACCGGTTTCAATGCGTAAGGGAAGCACTCCACATCTGAACTGTGCCAAGGCTGATCGTTCGTTTTTTTGAAATATTAGATACAACATATGGTTCGGTTTCACAATTAACTTTGAAGGAAATATATGTCCTTAATTTTGGTGATGATTGTATTTTCACTTTCCATTCATTTTCAGCATATTGACGAAGTTTTTGGTACATGTGTTCGGTATTTACTATTTGCTGGTTTTGAAAGAGACTGCTACTGTTGAGACTATCAAAAATATTTTTGATTTGTGAACACCACACACCCTGCATATTATAATCCCAAATGAAAACTTTTTTCGTTAATCTGTCATTTTCCAACTGAAGAATTCGGTTCCAAAGGCGAAATATATTCAGCCAACGTCGCTGTGTAGAGGGTAGCCATCCAACTTCGCTGTTAAGGGCAAATAAAGGGGTAAATCGGTGAAGCCCCAGAAAATAACGGATTGCACGATTTTGCACCATATATACTAACCTGCGCACTATGATTAATGATAGTAAAAAGTAGTTTTTACAAGAATTATTATTTATAATAATTAGTTCTATGTAATTAGCCATGATTACACATCTATGATTGCACATTTCCATTTCAGAAAATAAATGACATAAAAAAATAATAAATTTCCAAAAATTTGATACAAATATTGAAATAAAATTTTTAAGGATATATTTTTTTTACTTAACAACAAAATAAAGGTGTACATTAGTTTATGAAATGTATATACAAATACAATGCTTCGAGTTATTATCCAATACACCATTCAGAGAAAATATCAGGTCAATAAAAATCAGGTCATTACTTTCACATAGTTTACTAGTATGACTCGATACCGATTTATAACAATATCTTTAAAGAAAAACATCATACTATAGACATACCTATCTATATAGTTATCTGCACTTTCCCCCAGAAATAAAAGAATAAGAGAACAACAAACAGAAAACAAGGAGAATTTATAAGTTTTTATTCTATCAGGTCAATGGAAAATTCAGGTCAAACGATTTTCCTAGTTTATGTCTCGTTACGCATAACTATACCACATTTTTAAACATAACTATGCTTAAAATATCTGTCCTATACCCAAAAATATAAGAATAACCAAAACATAATGATAAACACAGAAAACTCGGAGAATTTATTTCTATCAGGTCAATGGAAAATATCAGGTCAACACACATTCTTACTTTATAGCTCGTTACTCATAATTATACCGATATTTTTTAACCCAAACATACCTAATGTATCTGTCCTATACCCTAGAAATATAAGAATAACCAAAATATAATGATAAACTCAGAAAACACAGAGATTTTATAAGTTTTTATTCCCATCAGGTCAATATCAGGTCAATAAAAAATATCAGGTCAAGCCAATTCCCTAATTTATGGCTCGTTACGCATAATTATACCAATATTTTTACAAATAAGTATGCCTAAATATCTGTCTTATACACTAGAAATATAAAAATAACCAAAATATAATGATAAACTCAGAAAACACGGAGATTTTATAAGTTTTTATTTCCATCAGGTCAATATCAGGTCAATAAAAAATATCAGGTCAAGCCAATTCCCTAATTTATGGCTCGTTACGCATAATTATACCAATGTTTTTACAAATAATTATACCAGAATATCTGTCTTATACCTCAGAAATATAAGCAAAACCAAAACATAATGTTAAACACAGAAAACAGAGAAATTATATTGATTTTTATTTCATCAGGTCAATATCAGGTCTTTAGTATATCAGGTCTTTAGTATCTTCCTGACACCACATCCTAAAAGAAAATCATTGCTGTCAATATATATCATGAGTTGAGGTTTTTTTCTGAAATTTTGAGAATTGGAGAATGGAGAAATTACTCTGACAGCGAGATTTTGATCAGAACAATTTTTAAAGTTCTTATTCAAAGAATAATACTTTACGATCGGGCTCGATGTTGTACGGAATCCCAGATGGTTGACGCGCGGAGCGCTCCGACTCGCCCAATCAATGACAACAAATCCTCGAAAGAGTGGATCAAGAGTGAACCTATGATAAAAAACAATACATCATCTATTCTTGAGTGAATCAGGATTAAAAATGGCATCAAAGAAACGAAGAGCATCACGTCCAGAATTGAGAAGATTGCCATTGTCTTTGATGTGTGAATGGGCATCATGTAAAGAAACATTTCAAGACATGGAGCAATTTACAAACCATCTTAAGGCTCACCTCACTGGCGTTACAAGCAATGGTATAATGGAAGAAGCTACAGAATACAGATGTTTGTGGAGGGACTGTGAAATGACGATTACTGGCCATGTAACAGACTTTGTTAGACATGTATACTTCCACTCTTTCCATGTCAAAATTAAATGTCTAGGATCTCAGATGGTACAAACCTTAAAGTTACAGGGATGTCAGCTGGATGAACAAAGTCGCAATTTGATTCCAGAATTACCAGAGAGATTGCAGTGTGGTTGGAAGGGGTGCGAGACAATCATGGACATCCCAGAAGCCTTTTATCGCCATGTGGACAGTCATGCTGTATCTTTTCCCGAGGGTAATAATGTACCCGGAGGCTGCAAGTGCTCATGGGAGGGTTGTGATGCTGTGTCAAAAAGTAGATATAAACTGCGTGAGCATCTTAGGAGTCACACTCAGGAGAAAATCATAGCCTGCACTGTGTGTGGAGGTCTATTTTCCCCCAGAACAAAGTTTCTAGATCACATGAAACGCCAAGAAGAAACAGATGTTCAGTGTTACCAATGTTCACACTGTGACAAACGCTACACCACAGAGAGACTTCTGAGGGATCATGTCCGCCACCATGTGAACCAGTACAAGTGTCCGTGCTGTGATATGACTTGTCCCACACCCTCCAGTTTGAAAACGCATTTGCGCTACAGACACACCACTCAGGCTCCCTACAAATGTGACCATTGTGGACATGGAGCCAAGTCAATTGCCGACTTGAAAAAGCATTTAGAAAGTCACAATATAGATGTTCCATATCATTGCCATATTCCAGACTGTTCCTATACATCAAGAACATTTCAAAGCTTAGAAAATCATTTCAAACGTCTTCATCAAGACCTTGATGTTCAGAAATACAAATGCCACGTCTGCTCTACTCTGTTTACCCGTGGTACAAATCTTACATCTCATTTAAAGAAAAAACACAAGTTCAGATGGCCATCTGGACATTCACGCTTTAGATACAAAATGCAGGAAGATGGATATTTACAGCTGCAGACCGTGCGATATGAAAGCATTAAACTGACTGAGCAGATGGAGAGTGATGAAGCAGTTTCTTCAGAAGTTGATGTAAACCCACTTTCTTCCACAGACTCTGAAGAAGTCATTAGCAGAAGTAAGAAAAGAAGAAGGACCTTTAAAAAGGAGAAAGAAAACACGGCTTCTAAACCTAATGATTTACATCAAGATTACAGTTTATGCAGGACAGAGCAAACTGCTGGAAATCTAGTCTCAACTAATATCCGCTGTGGCAAGAATGAAGTCAAAGAACAAACTACATTACAAGGTCCTGAACCTGAAACAAGATATCAGTATGTTTCATTTGTAGAGCTTCCTCCGGACTATTTTTCTTTAAATCCTCACTTGAAACAAGTCCCTCATGTGCCTGAAAGTGAAATATTACAACCTATTACCATAGGAAGCAGTGGTTTGGATCATTTTAAGGATATAACGAGAGAAATGGACGGGGACAATATTTATCAGAGTTCAGACCGAGAGCTTCCATCGGAGCAGGAACATTCATCACAACAACCTACAGATACATCAGGTGAGGACAGAGGACAGAACTATAATCTGGAAATGCTTGGAGATGTTGCATTGAGAGCACCCCCAGAGAAGGAAAAATCAAGTCCGGGAAAAACCAGAAAAAGAAAACAAACACTGACAAACAAATGCAGGAATGCTTAATGACAAGATTCACCGACTTCAAAAGTCTATGCCATGAACCCAAATCAAGCTATGAGAGATTGAATTTTTTATTTATATACCGGTATAAATACCTTAACTTAAATGTATTAATGTCATGGTATATTCATCATCTTTAAAACTTAAAAAATTGAGAATACATTGTACAAAGCATAAGTTCTTATGCTTAAATTAATCTTTATAGTTTGATAAGCAATGATTTTTAGCTTTAAACAAATGTTTATTTACAGCTACCTAATATAATCAACCCTGATAAAAGTGATTTTTTTAGACTCTGACTCAAAAGTTGTACCTTAAAGTAAATACAAAATCTGCACAAATCTATCTTTTTTTATTGAATATAAGACATTTTTTCTCAGTCTTTTTGATCATTGCTGATCTAACTGGGTGAGTTCTATAATGACAATATTTGTAAATGTAATAAATTGACAATATTTGTAAATGTTGTAATAGATGTACTTCACTAATCACAATTATGCAACTTTGTCAGTATAAGTAGTCTATATGTTGTATATGAATTGAATTCTGTAAACAAGGCAAAATCAGAACACATTTCTTTTTATCTCTGATGTGCAAATTTATTTAAATAATAGCATTTGAAGCCTTCTCTAAAAAGTTGTTTGGTTGACCTCTCCTAATTGACCCCCCCCCAAAAATGGCCCAACTTAAAACTTTTTAAAACCTACAGGAAGCACATAGTGAGTTACTTATTTAATTGTATTCTTGAAAATAGATTTAAAAATTCAAAATTCACTTTTGAAATTAAAATTCTCTTAAAAAAAAAAAGAAATCTCACCTAGTGAACTACATACAGAGCCAATTTAATTTTTTTTCATTCTGTGTTGGAAGAGGGCAAACTAACCTGACATACTGTTTTATATTGATGCTTTACAGACCATGTATTCTCCTCATATTTCACATGCAGTATTTTCACATATGGTTTGTTAACTTACATTCAATAAATGTACAATCTTATTAATTTCACTTTTAATTTTGCTTGAAGAATTTGCATGTTTTGTACATGTATGTGTATATTTTAATATGGACACCAGATATAAAGTCAAGAAAAGATGACTAAAAAATTATCTGATATTTACTTTATGATCTTGGGGGATGAATTTGGCATTTTAGTGCAGGTATTCTGTTTCATTCCTCTGCTCTCAAGTTTTGAACCATTAAACCCTAAAATCTGTCTGATTGTGTACTGTGATCTCCAGTGCCAGATATTTTGCTTCAGTCCCCTGTAAAGTTAGTAAATGAACATAGGTATTCAGTGATTACACAGCTCACTAAAACAAATGTCATATATAAAGGTCAAGTCCCACATCAAAATAATAATCTAGTCGTGTACATTTCTAGATGCAGTATTTATGCAATTTTGATCAGATAGGGCTTACAGTTTCTTGGGAGTAGACTTATCCAAGAACTTTAAACTATAGTCACTCATCCAGAAAATGCAATTAAAATCCAGCATTAGAAGCAAGTTGAGATTGTTCATCCCTTGCTGATGCATCATCTATGCAAATTGGGATCAGATAGAACTTAAACATGGTCCATTACTTAGAAAGTGTATAATGTCAGAACCAGCATCAGAAGCAAGTCCATAAGTTTGCATCAAACCAAAAACCGATGCACTAAACTATGTATTTCAAGTTGGTGTATTCTACTTGTGTGCCATGTTAGATTGAAATCATACCAAAACTAGGAGGAGTAGCATTTTAAAGGAATTTTAAGAAACTTCCATTTTTAGTGACCATTTTTAGTAACCATGGCAACACCGTTCATCATACCAAATAAAAAACTGATGCACTAAACTATGCATCTTAAAGTAGTTTACTTGTGTGCCAAGTTAGATTGAAATCAGACCATAACTTTAGGAGGAGTGGCGCTAGCATTTTGAAAAATTAATTCTTTACAGACAGAAACGGACACCTTACTATCAAATAAGCTCTTCTGGTATTTGACCAGTTCAGCTGAATTAAATTAACCTGGGATGTTGACACTAATGCTGAGGGTATCACGTGCTCCCTCAACGTCCTTGAGGTGAGCCAAAAAATGACCTGTCGATGATAGGAACTAGCAGTGTAAATGGATGTGATTTTTATACAAGTGTTTTCTGTTCCTAAGCCTTTGGATAGAATGCTTACAAGTAGAATAACATAACATTAATATCGTATAATTTTCATGTCTGCATGAACGCTTCGACATGTCTGCATGAATGCTTCGATTGCAGACATCTTCAAACAGTTTGTCTTAATATAAACTTAATTAAATTCAGGTAAAAAAAAATTCCATTGGTCTGGCTCCACCCCATCCCTGGGGGCCTAAATTGTATTGGATTTTCACTTTGTTATGATGTTTGCAGATTAGTAGGTCTTATCCTGCCTAATGTGTTCAATTTGAGATTTTCCCATTAGTATGTGCCCATTTCTCTTTAGAATTTTCCACTCATTTGGAGATCCCACCATTTGCCAAAGGAGAGATGCAAATTTTCACCCATGCTCAGCACTGAGGGTCATTGAGCAGTGAGGAATCTTTTTCGTGTCAACATCTACTGCAACTCAGGACCTTGGTTTATACTCTGTTGAAGAGTTGGTATTCACATCCTCCTGAGGGATTCGAATTCGCGACGTAAGGATCATCTCTCAGCAGATGCTCTCATGTACCCCTGTGCAATGCAGGCTTCTTTCAGAGGATGGACTGGCAGACAGTACGTCACAACATGTGATCAGAAAAGCTAAATACTAGATAAGCTAAAACGTTAATAATAAACTTTTCAACACATTTTAAAATATTTATTTTGAAATAGATCAATAAAAGCATTTTGACATCAAGTATCTTCATGAACAAAAATTGTACTTTTCATTTTCAATGATCGACTCATGATTTATTTCTTTATTCTACTTTTGAAAATAATTAATAGTATGTGCCATGATTGAAATTAAGATACAATAATATTATACAGTTATTTTACAATATAAGATTAAACATTTATAAACATACAAGAATCACTGTATCTATTCATGCTCATTATTTTAAGTAACAACAGGTAATTTTATTAAGTATAATTAATGAAGATGTGATTTTCAAGGAAGATTCTAAAGAGAGAGAAAGCCAAACGGCCCAGCAAGGACTGCATTTGGTTTTATAAAAGCCATCTTCCCCCAATTAGTCAAAGGTTACTGATCCATTTTGTGACAAAAACCAAAAAGTTACAAAGCTTGGAGATCTTAAGAGTCTCCTGTAGGAATTTCAGGTATAGTGTTTTCAATGAAGAGAGACACAAATTTTGCAAGATTTGGCCAAAAAAAAATGTAGTCTAGACTTGTTTCCTGCAACAAGACCTTCTCTATGTTTTTGCACTGCGCCCCTAAAGTTTTTTTTAGCTTTTGGGGAAAATTAGAAATAATATTGACCTACCTATGACTTGTTTAATTTGGTTTGTAGTAGTTCATATCTGAAAAATACCGTTGGAAAAAATGAATTAAAATTAAAAAAACTAGTGCTAATTGTAACGGGGACCGTTACAGATGTTCCCCAAACGCTCCCCAACTCCCTTTTGGTGCCATATTCCCTGTAAGCTCCATTAACTAAGACAACCTCTATGCATCTGAGATTTTAACAACATTAACAAAGAAGTGTACAAAAATCATTTAAACTTTAGCATTGCACGCGTGCACATGTGAATGCATATGCGTCATGACCATATCATCTTGTCTACACAATCTATATTTTTAATATACTGAATATTATATAAATATAGCCCTTTGATGAGGTCAATCCATAGATATATCGACTTCACAGAAAAGCATATCGACCGAGCACGAAGTGCGAGGTCGATATGCTTTTCTGTGAAGTCGATATATCTATGGATTGACCGAATTAAAGGGCTACATTTGTTATATTATTTTTTACATAGATTGACAAAACAAATTATGAAAATAATTGGAAAAGTTTTCTCTCTTTAACAATTAGAGACTAGAGATCAAAATAAATTACACCGTTTAATGTAAATGCGTTTCCTTTTTATTGATGGAGTGATTTAGACGATTTACTTATTCAGAATACTTCATTTATTTGATTTAGTTTTGTATCAACATTTGACACACATATCGAATATGTTTTAATTAATATGAAGTAATCCTAATCCAATGCCTTCTTTTGTCTCATCAAATACAGAACATTGAAACAAAGTTAGTAAAAGTTGAAATAAATATTTTTTTTCTAGAAACATCAAATCATACACTGTATTAGCTTTGATTGAATACAGTACTATTTTGTTTCACAGAAATTATCTCCATTTTAAGAAACCTCAAGTCGATATGCATTTCAGATTCTATAAATAGTAACTCAAGTCTTTATGCTGTTATATACTAAATCATGTGATCAAGTTTGAGCCAATCAGAGAGCTGGGAATAAATGATAAAAATAATATTAAAGTATTTAATCCAAAATTATTAAAAAAAAAAAATTCGCTCATTCATGTGTATGTTTGATTTTTCTCATTTCACGTGCACGCACGTGCATACATGAGCATGGTGACCATACCTTCTTGTAGAAGTCCATTACATCTATCTATGTTCTAAATTCCACCCCGTTTGGGTGAAAACTAAGGGAGTTATAGCTGTTTAAAGTTTCAGCCAATCAGATTGCAGCACATGTACACGCACGTGTATGCATGTGCATGGTGACCATACCTACTTGTAGAAGTCCATTATATCTATCTATGTTCCAAATCCCATCCTGTTTGGTTGAAAACCAAGGGAGTTATAGCTGTTTAAAGTTTCAGCCAATCAGATTGCAGCGCACGTGCATGCACGTGTTTTCATGATAATTGCTTTATTTCATGTTGTAGGATATCCTGATGCATGGCTATGTTCAAAATTTCAAAGGATTTTGTCAAAAAACAAGAAAGATATTGAGACTTTAGTTGCAGCCAATCAGAGCGAAGTGCACGTGCATGCGCGTGAGATCTTGCTATTTTCACCATGTAGTCATGTCTATACTACTAATATATCCTCACATTATGAGTTTCAAAGCATTTCATTTAAAAATAGAACAGTTGTAGCCATATCTATTATATTGGTCATTTCACGTGTTGCACGTGCACGCTCTTGCAAGCACGTGCGCGCAAAATGACCTTGATTCCGCAAATCTACATAACATGTCTACTAACCCTAAAAAGGTTTTACCTACATCGGACGAACAGTTTACAAGATCA